GGTTCGGCCGAACCTGTAGGAACCCACCTCTGGTTCAAACTTACAAGAGCACCGGAAAAAGTGACTTACGACCATTTTTCACATTTACAACCTTTGTAGCCTTCCCATGATCATGTGATCAGATTTCAGATACTTGGCAACAGGTTCATACTTACCACTGTTCCTGTATCCTAAGGTCACGTGATCCCCTTTTGGGAACCTCCTGATAAGCAAAGTCAATGGGGAAGCCAGATTCCACTTAACAACCCTGTTACTAACTTATCAACTGCAGTGATTCACTTAACAACTGTGCTCAAGAAAGGTTGTAAAATGGGGAAAAACTCACTTGAGAAATGTCTCACTGAGCAACAGAAATTTTGGGCTCAATGTGGGTCGTAAGTCGAGGATTACCCCTATCTCCCTCTTTATGACATAGGGATGATACAGCCTTCAAGAGCAGATGCAGGCTCTGTTATCCCTATGAGATACACACACACACACACACACACACACATTTAATTCATTTTTTTCCCCACGAAGAAACTAGGAACAGACCATCTGACATTTAGAAGTGCAGGATGTAAAAACAGGAGAACAAAATTGTCCACTTGCAGTGATGTTTGAGATCTTAGAGAGCCTCTGTTGGTTGAGCTTTCCTATTAGTAGCTATTTGATATCTCTACCTGGAGATATTGCGGCTGAATATGGGAGATTCACCGTGCAAAGCAGGTTGCTCCTTCACTGAATGATGGTCTGCCCTCCATAGTACGAGCGACAGTCAGAATCGAACTAGATACGGTGATAATGCCAATTGCACAAATAGGGCTTTCTTTTAAATGCAGCTAGAAAAACAATGACTCTCATCAACAGGATTACACCGATCCTCAAACCAATGAACAGAGGAAGGTTCATTATTTTTTCCTCTCTTCCAAGCTTAAATCAAGAAATTGGGCTGTTTTTAGAGAACCCTAAAGTAAGGGTGCTTTTTTCAAGAGGCAACTGAACTTTCTTTGAAGACGTTTTCGCTTCTGTTGAATTTAGGGTCACGTCCCCTTAGGTAGCTGATGCTGCTTTGCTAGCTTGGCTATAATCTCTCTTGGCATTCTCTGCAGTCGTGAAACGTTCTTCCAGCAGCCTGTTTCCTACACAGGTGCTGCCAACTAGCAATTAATTAATTCTGCAAATTATGGCGGGAGATGAAAGTGAAACGGAGACGCTTGGCTATCGCAAACTCCTCGATGAGCTTATGCAGAGGGCAGCGCTGCGGGCATGTTGTTCTCGCTGTGGGGCTTTCTCATAGGGCTTGCGAGGAACTCAAAAACGGGCTATGTGGCTTTTGGGGAGACTTTTCTTTGCACCCCCACCGCACCCTCCAAAATACTCCCCTTCACTCCATCTGCTCCGCTTGAATTCCAGAGCGGGTATAGGAGACCTTCCAGAATGTGGCAGGTTTGGTGCTTTTCCCAGGGTGTCTTTTGTCTGAGGTCACCTCCCTCCATCTCTAGATGCCATCCATGCTTTGTGTGTCGTCCTTGTCAAGGCCTCTGCTGGGCAGGGCTTCCAGGCCCTACCCAATCAGGCTAGGTATCATCCTTAATCCAGGGTATGAAGGAATGTGGTTCACCTCTTCGTTTAGGGCGTCTGCAGGAGGCCTGGCTAGCTATAAGTAGAGTCCTCCTTGGCTTGATGCTGGCCTGGCTTTTTTTTGGGGGGGGGGGAAACTTGCTGATGGGCGGTGTCTGTCTGGTTGCCCATTGGTTGGATCCCAGTACTTAGCATTCCAACTGAATTATAAGCCAGACATAAGCAAGCATGCCAGCCAGCCGGTTCAACGACAAAAGGGCGAACAACAAAACCGCGACCGACAAAACCGCGAGTTCTAAACCGCGCCGAAGAATGAGCGCTGAATCGTGCTGACAATAGCGCGGCGACAGAAGCGCGCTGTGAACCTAAACCTAACCCTAAACCTAACGCTAACCCTAAACCTAACCCTAAACCTAACCTTTACCTTAACTTAAATCGCCCTTAAATCGTCCTTCTGTCAACGTGCTTACCTTAACTTAAATCGCCCGTCTGTCGGCGCGCTGTTGTCGGCGCGTTGATGACATCACGGTTTTAGCGGCGCGGTTTTGTCGGCGCGATTTTGTCGTGCGCGGTTTTGTCGAGTCACTCAGCCATCCAACAAGGGCAAGGTAGCAGAAAGAAAAACAGAGTTAGAGCATAAGTAAGCAGCAGCTAAGCTAAACCCTTCTGAGGAATATCTAATCTGGCATCTAAAAGCACAGGGTTTGAACTCTTTTGGAAAATACGAGGTCTGTAACTCCTTTGAGAGCAGGAGAAGTAGAACTTGGAGATACAGAAAGAAACCTGGGCAGGATTAGTGATGCTTCTCAGGGATGCTATTGCCAGGTGCCTCTTGAAACAATTTATGGGCAAGACAAGCTGAACTAATTTCTCTTTGCTCCAGTGCTTTTTTAAAACAAAAGGGGAAAGAAGTGACACAGCTGCGCGGATTTCTGATTTTTGGGGCCAAACCCTAAAACCCAGTTCTGACTTTAGAGTTCTATTTCTTGCCAGCTTGGGAAGTCCTTGAATATCGCAGTTTCCAATTAATTGTTTCGTTAGCTATTGGCATAGAAAGCTATGGAGAGAGAACATTCAGCTTCATAGCAAAAGCTAGTCATGCCCTGGGTTCGAAGCCTGCATCCAAAAGCGAGGAGGGTCCCATTCTTGCAAAATCCAGACTTTGCAACTCTGAACTTTAAAGCAAAGAGAAATTGTCCAGCTCACTTACATTCAGCAGTGTACCTGGTTTGCTAGCCAGTATGCCAATTCAAATTCCAGCATTTAGGATATTTTAGGAGAAATTGGGGGCTTTTCAGAGTCTTGTCTTTGTCAGCTGTGTTCCATTGCTTTTTTATGGATTCTTCTCATCCCTTCTTGTCATCTTTATGTGCCTTTTCTCTTTCAACGTGCCTTCCATGTTTCTCACGCGTCTTGTTGGGATGGTGGGTCACCTCTATTTTCCAGGCCACAGATCGTCCTGTCAATGGGCTGGATGCTGGACTGCGGCCTTTCGACTTGGTTATCCCTTTCACTATCAAAAAAGGAGAGATAACAGGTAATGTGGGAACGCGGCTTAAAGGTTGCTGTGTGCATTAACAGCCTGGGGAATGCAACACGTAATGTGAGGCAGAATTCAGCTTCCTGGTCCCTATTTTTGTTTTAAATAGCTGTATTTTACAACTTAAGATGTTCCACGAGCAAGGTCTGCTGAAATTTGTGAGAAAGTTGGAAGATTTATGGAGATGTGCAGGTTGGGGTTTTTAAGTCCGACTTTCGTTTTCCCATTCCTCATAACTAAGAGATGCAGAAAATCATTGTTATGGTTTTTATTTTATGGGAATTGCAGGTGTTCTCGAATTACCTGAATGCAATACATGTGACTCTTCTTCAGGGACTTTGCAGAAAGCAATCTGCATTTTTGCAACTATTAAGTATCTGGATTTGACACCAAAACTAAGCCCTCATCTTTAGCCATAACTTTCACTGCGTTGGTATCTACCAAATAAGCTGAGTAACAAACCATCTATTTGGAAGCTGCAGGGGGAGATGCTAAGGATATCACTTCAAGCACAGATAGCGCAGCTTTTCCTGTCTCTTCCAGATATATTGGAAAGCAATCGACATCATTCCCAACTGATATGACAGAAATGGCAGTCCGGAGTATCTATAAAACCCCAGGAGATGGAAGGGGGATTTCAGCGTTTAGCTTTAGGCTTCTGAAACGATCCCTGTCCAAAAATGTCCTTGCTAAATTCTTAGGGGATTCTAGCCTAGTGCAGCTAAATGACCTAGCTCGTATGCTGTGAGTTGCTGCATTGGACAACAGAAGTCAGTTTTTGTTCAAATGTCCCATACTAGCAGAATAGTATACAGAGCTGCCCCCGTGGCTTACTACTCAAGACTAACCGAAGCCGCTGAATTGTTTTCTCTTTCCATCCCCCTTCCAAAGGAGAGGTACGCATGCCCTCCGGTAAGGTGGCCAAGCCAGATATTACTGACAATAAGGACGGCACAGTGACAGTGCGTTATGCCCCCACCGAGGCTGGCTTGCATGAGATGGATATCCGTTACGACAATATGCATATCCCAGGTAACATTGCAGACTGTGGAGGTTCCTGGTTATCCTGGAGGGTCTGGTTTGTGAGTTTCTGAGTAATATCTAAATGGCATCACAACCACTTTCTGATTCACTAGGTAGCCCCCTGCAGTTCTATGTGGATTATGTTAACAGTGGCCACGTGACAGCTTTTGGTCCTGGACTCACCCACGGCGTGGTCAACAAACCAGCTGTGTTCACAGTCAACACAAAAGATGCTGGAGAAGGTGAGTTGTGACATTGTACTCCTCCCACCAGAACTGTTCTTACTTCTGTTTGTGTTTTTCCCTTAATGTAACAAAGACATCCATAAACTATACAAATTGGTCATTGGGATTCCTTCATACAACTTAAGATATTGAGCTTGTCAGGGTTAACTTCGGTGTTTGACCTTCTGATGTTTGCAGGTGGCCTATCCTTGGCCATTGAAGGTCCTTCTAAGGCAGAAATTGGATGTACCGATAACCAGGATGGCACCTGTACAGTGTCCTATCTCCCAGTTCTACCCGGAGACTACAATATACTGGTGAAATACAATGACAAGCACATCCCAGGAAGTCCTTTCACTGCCAAGATTACTGGTGAGATGTGAGGTTGCTCTGATATGAAGTGGGCTAGGCAGCCAGGCTGACTTATGCTGAAGGCCTCTTGTCTGCCTCTGCTTCCAACAGGTGATGATACAATGCGCATGTCCCACCTGAAAGTGGGCTCATCAGCTGATATTCCCTTGAACATCACTGAGACAGACTTGAGCCAGCTGACAGCCACGGTGATCCCACCTTCTGGCCGTGAGGAGCCTTGTCTGCTCAAACGCCTACGCAATGGACATGTCGGTGAGTGTCCCTTTTTTTAGCCTACCTCTGAGCCAATTGGCAGAATTCATGGGTAGGACAAGATAGTTGGAGAGGCTTAACAAATCATCTCCTCCTTTCCGCCTCTTGCAAATGTCTCTGTAGGAATTTCATTTGTCCCCAAAGAGATTGGAGAGCACATTGTGAACATCAAGAAAAATGGGCTGCACATCCCCAACAGCCCTATCACGGTGATGATCAGCCAGTCAGAAATTGGAGATGCCAGCCGCGTCAGGGTCTCTGGCCCAGGACTCAGTGAGGGCCGGACCTTTGAACCTTCAGAGTTCATCATTGACACCAGGGATGCAGGTACACAAATGAAGTTTTAATACAGCCTTGGAAATGTCTTAAGTTACATTGTTAGATTTATTTATTTTTTTTAATTTGATGTTCACAACTCTTGTTGTCGCTATGCTGGCTGGAAATGGTGGTAGGTGGTAATCCAGCACATCTGAAGGTGTTCTGTCCCCCCTTCACGGCTCTTAACAAACGGCAAGACGAATAAACTTAAAAGGAACTTTCTTTATCAGT